TGTAACCCCAACTAAGAGGAACCATCTACTTTACAGTTCACCACTCCAGAAGCCTGGAAATGGCAGGTGAAATAAAGAGAAAGCATTTGTGCTCTGTGATTTAGCAGCTTAAGATGCCTGGAAAGACTCACATGGAGGAATACCAGTCCATGGTATAAGGATTCAGCACTGACAATCATGTTCTTGGGGTTTTTTGTTTGTTTATTTTGGTCATTGCTTGACTGTGTAGCTCTAAGTCAGCTCAGATGACGTCAGGTTCACAGGTATACCAGGTATAAAAACATAGGATGGAAGCTGATGGGACCATGGTGGTACCTTGCTTACCTAGATTATGTGAGGCTTCGGGGTCCATGCCCAACATCAATTAAAAAAAATTCATACAAAAACAGTACTAATAAACATAGAAACCATTTTCTACACATCAGATAAGCAAGGGATTTAAGGTTCAAATTAGGTAAAAAGAAATAGAAAGGAGGCTTGTATCAGGTATTTCCACCAACTGGGGATCAAGTGTATAAACACATAAACTTATGAGGGGCATTTCTTATTCAAGCAACCAAAAGGCTAACGAGATGCAAAGTAAAGCATACCAGGAGAAGGAGAAATTATATATATATATATATATATATATATATATACATATATATACATATATATATATTCATATTCATATATATGCATGCTCTCCACCCAGGGGTCTCTGTGTTTATACCAAGAGACACACACAGGGACTGGACAAGTAATATATAATAATGTATATAGAAACCAACTATGGTAAAAAAAAAGTTTAGAGAAATCAACTGGAGAAATGTCCAGTAATAGAGGGATAAACTTTTATAGTTTTTTGGGGGGGGCTGTTTTTTTTTTTTTAGACAGGGTTTCTCTGTGTAACATTGGTTGTCCAAGAACTCACTCTGTAGACCAAGCTGACCTCAAACTCAGAGATCCACATTCCTCTCCCAAGTACTGGGATTAAAGGTGTGCACCACCACTGCCTAGCTAAACTTATACAGTTTTATAGCGGAGTAATATCCGGTAGTTCAATCCAACACCATGGATTGGTGATATGTGTCAGAGGAAAGGCTTTTGCCCAAAGCCTGATGACACACAAGGCAGATGTAGAGAATCAACTCCAGCAAGTTGTTCTCTAACTTATGTAGACCTATGCAAGCACGTGTAAACACAATAATTTAAGTAAACGTAATAAAAAAACAACACCCTCCTCAAAAGAACACACAAAAAAATTTTAAAAGCTGAAAGGGGATAAGCAAGGTACAGCATATATATATAATTTAATCCATTAGCAAAGCATGAATTAAAAATACATGTATATATAATTAAAAGTATGAAAAGAGAAGGGGCTGGAGAGATGGCTTAACAGACAAGAGAACTTGTTGCTCTTGAGAAAACTTGGGGGTCAATTCCCACATAGCAACTCACAACCATTTATTAACTCTAGTTCCAAAGGATCTGACACCCACACAGTACACAGACATAAAACATCCACACACATAAATGAATAATAATAATAAAAGCCACAAAAGTGTCAAAGAGTGAAAACTATCAACTTCAGGTGACTGTGTTGAAATGCAATGAGCCCAGCCCCTCTGGAAAGCAGTGGTATTTGAGAAATCCGCCATCATTCTGTGTTCTGGGAAACAGATGATTGAAAAGGATAGGCCTTTTCTTTCTAGCACTTGGGAGGCAGAGGCAGGCCTATCCCTATAGGTGAGGCCAGCCTGGGCTACACAGTGAGACCATCTCAATTATTAAAGAAAGGAAGGAAGGGAGGAAGGGAGGGAGGGAGGGAGGGAGGGAGGGAGGGAGGGAGGGAGAGGAAGGAAGGAAGGAAGGAAGGAAGGAAGGAAGGAAGGAAGGAAGGAAGGAAGGAAGGAGGAAAGGAAAAGGCCATTGTGTATTCTCTAACAAAATCTGTTCATATACTCCTTCAAGACTCCCTGGGTTACCTGCCCAAGTTCATTCTTTCCCTTGGAGAAGTTTCTCCACCATGAACATTCTTTGAATTTATAACATCCTGAATGAAATCATTTCCTAATGGGCCAGTACTTTAAGGTCTTTGACACAGGAGTGGTACCTTTATGGGAGGAAAGAGACAACCAGGAAGAAGTACATTGAGCTGCAGTGATAACAAATACATAAAATATAACCCTCCAGGACAGCCAGTGCCACAGGGGAGAAAAAAAAAAAAAAACAACCCTGTCTTGCAAAACCAAAGGGCACAGGACAAACAAATGTACACCCAACCTATTTAACTGAATCATTAAAAGTATTTTTGCTAAGCACTGAGTGCAGAATAAAGTGGTAATTCAGTCTAAGCCAATTAGCTCAGTTCGGAGAATTCCATGTAATGTTAAGGGTTACATTATCACATATTCTTTAACTTTGTTTCAAGGCCAGACTACACCCTACTTTCCAGAGAGCTACGAAACTATGCTGCAAATGCACTCCCTGGTTAAAGAAAAGGCTAGCCAATCTACATGTGATGTGTCAAGCTGTACCCAACAGAACTGAGCAAATAAAGCTGGGAATTTAATGGTGAGCTGGCAAATAATCTTTGCACATAGGAGGAAGATGACACACCCAGTACACACTCAAAAATTTTATTTGGCATGTGCAAACAGAGGGTACATTTTCCCCCTGTGGGGAGGAGATTTTAGAAAGACATTTATGATTTTTTTTTTTTTTTTTTTGGTTTTTCGAGACAGGGTTTCTCTGTATTGTTTTGGAGGCTGTCCTGGAACTCACTCGGTAGACCAGGCTGGTCTCGAACTCACAGAGATCCGCCTGCCTCTGCCTCCCGAGTGCTGGGATTAAAGGTGTGCGCCACCAACACCCGGCTCATTTATGGTATTTTATAGTGAGACATTTGAACACATGACAGCTCATTTTTCTGATTTCAACTTGCTTTATTCCAATCGCTTCTAAAAGACTTAATGAGTATGAGGAAGTAATTATTCTAATTTAAAACAAACCCATATGCAGTTAAACTTTAATCTCTCCACTACCATCCAAAAAAAAGGGGGAGGGAGCCAGTCAATGGTGTGCTGATGGTATCTGTGAGTTCGAGGTCAGCCTGGTCTACATAGTGAATTCCAGGGTAGCCAGGATTATTACACAGAAAAACCCTGTCTCAAAAAACCAAAGGAAAGGGGGAGAAGCTTAGCATATTAGCTGACACCTGTAATTCCAGAACTCAGGAAGAGAGCAGAATGCTAGACCACCCTGGGCAAAATGCTAGATGCCCCCAATACCTGTAAACCTAGCACCTGGAGGCTCAGGCAGGCTTGCCTCAAAGTTCAAGTCCAGCCTGGGCCTCACAATGAGTTCCCTATCATTCTGGATTACAGAGTGAGACCCCGCCTCAAAAAAGGACACCAAGCAGCTAAAAGGTTTCAACTATAGAGAGTGCTAGAATCTGGGATAATAAAGGAGAAATTATCTCTCTCTAATACCCTCTAATGGCTGAACTGAATGGAGATGCTCCCTGCTAACAAAGCCAAACATAGTAAGAGCCTGTGTTCTGAAATCTTCCTGCTAAAAACTCACCCAGAACTGGTGAAATGGCTCAGCAGGTGAAGGCACTTGCCAGGCAAGTCTGACAACCTGAGTTCCATACCCAGAGTCCACGGTGATAGGAGAACTCCACAAAACCATGGAACTCCAGCACCCACGACCTCAGACCATAATAAATATGGATCTAAGAGTTTTTTCTCTCTCCCCCAGGTATCAGGAAACGCAACAGGTTCTTCTTTCATTGTGTTTGAATGTACATAGTAAAGTTAAGCTTTAAAACTAAGCATCCATACATTTAAAATGCTTGGCCCACTTTAAATATGAAGTTTGCATTCGCCACTTAGAGAAAAGATGTTAGTTACATCAGCAGACTAGAGAGCCGCCACCAGTCCACTCCATTACAAGGAGTGCTCACATGTATCAGAACTTAAATCCTTTAGATTTACATTTAAAATTTCGAAGAGGTTCAAAAGACTTCAGAACCTGATCTATTTGTAGCCGATACAGCATTAAACTCAAAGAACCAGACTTACTATTAAGACACTATTAAACACGATCAAGAAAACTACCCACTTAACCTAATGAGCCACCCTGCACCTGCAAGCTAGCTGCTATATCCTAAGGAAAATCAAAGTTGTTATTCAATGAAAACATTCTGTAGACAGATAAGTTGGTACCAACTGCTTCGAAGCGCACAGATGCAGTAACAGGATGATATTTCTAGCAGCATGGCAAGGCCTTGCCAGCAAATCATTGACCAAAAATGGTAACAGTATGCAGACAACAGTGACAAAATGTTCTACCTGATCGCCCAGTTGGGATACTGTTTTCCAGCAGATTTGAGGAACAGTTTGGAGGTAGAGAAGTTTGTAAATTACGCAAAATCTCCATCACCTCAACATAACGAATGTTTCTCTTGTTAAAGGCCTGGAGTAATTAAATGAACCTTCTGAAAGCTTTTAAATTTGCTTCGGGGAAGCAACATCATGTTCACCCAAAGTTGTGGCAAAGCCATGTTCTCAGGCGACGGCAGATTTCTAGTTATGGAAGGACGGACCCGGCAGGGAGGGGTTAAAAGAGACACTGCCAAGCTTGACAAGCCCAACGAGAGTGCCACTGAAGCTGATTGCCAGATACGACAAACAAAGCTACGGCAAGGCCACCCTGTTCTTAATCACGCTCGCTAGCAATCACCCCGCCCTCTAGGGTGTTCAATAAAATCCTTCTTTTCCTTCTCGGTGGAAAGGGCTGGAAAGGCTCATGGGTCACTGAGCTGGCCTTGGAGAAAACCGCACCCACACCGACGGTCCCCGGGATCCGCGGCCCACCCGAGGGACCTGCAGACTTCGGGATCGGCGGCAGCGAGGCCGGGCCGAAGACTACCCCGGGCGGTGGCCCGGGAGCTGCCTTGTAGCCGGGAGACGCGGTCCCTCCCTCGGCGGACGCCTCAGTTGCGGGTCACTCACCATGTTCGCCGCGGTGGACTTCGAGACGAGAGCTAGGAGACTAGCGGCAAAGTCCGTGCAGCGTCCTCCGCGCGGTAGCAATACCCGGAGAGCGAGCGCAAGGCGGACGCGACAGCTCGAGTCTATTAAGGGGCGGGTGGAACGGGTTCCAGCAAGAATGCGGCTGCGCGCGCTCCGCTCCGCCCCCCGTTGCTATGTAACAGGCCACCCCCCGGCCAGGCCCCACCCAGGAGGCCCGGCTCTCCGCAGACTGCTGGAAACCTCGCTCTGGCACTTGAGGCAGGGGAGTGCGTGGATCCTCCGCCCTGTTCAGCGCCGGCCTTTTCCTCGGTGAAGGGCGGGCAAAGGACGCTCCGGGGGAGAAGGATGGCCCTGCCCTGGAGGCGGGACCAGGAGACGCCCAGCCCACCGCGCGGCGGTTGCCCATACATGGAAGTCGCCACCTGGCCAGGTGTGCGCGCCGCCGGGGGCGGGACCGTAGCGCGGGGTGGGCGGGGCAGCGCCGGCGGGCGGGAGCTCGGCTCGCCGGGCGGGGGTTGGGGGAGGACTCTCTCAACAGCGCTCAGGGCCAGCATCTTGAATTTTTTTACCTACTTTGGTGCTGTTCCCACCATCCTGTGCTGATTGGTCAGCCCGGCCCGTCGGCTGTCGCGTGAGAGGAAAAATCTGCACATTTTTCCTCCTTCCTGAGGCGACAGTGGCTGTTCAAAGTGCTGCGTGAGTCAGCGCTAATTTCAGGGCTGGAAAACAGGAGTGATTTGTTTATCTTCGGAGCAGGCTGGGAGGAGGCCGGATGGCCCGCGGGAGTGCGTGGGGGACGCCGCGTGGCCTGGAGCTGTGGATCCGGCCCCTCCGCTGTGCTTGGGGGCTTCTCATTGGGGAATTTTGTGTTTTCCTTAAGGCTGCCACCTGGCCACCAGGAATCCCAGCGTTGTTTGTTTTTGTGGCGAATAAAAGGAACCCTTAAGACGTTGAGTGATTACCTAACTTTTGGACTTAATTTAGGCGATGATCACGATCTCTACCAAAACTTCAATTCTCTAGATAGGAGGCTTTTGGACAAGATGCTTGTTGTGTTTCTTTGTTTCTGTTTTCTGGGCGCTATATAAATTCTACCCTAAGTAACTTTTGTTCTGCCTACGTAGCAGAAACGCAGTTCCCAAGTTTTTGGGTTTTTTTTTTTACTCAAGACAAAAAGCAAGTTGTGACAATTGCAAGGCTTTCCGGCTTTGCCACAGGCTGTTCAGAGGGCTCTAACAGCGGCCTCAGAACCACCTAGACAGCCTGTTCAAAAGATTTCTATTTCGTTCTCTATCAAGGCATCTAGAATGTAATCGAAAGTTTTGCATTTTAAACAATTCTCTGGTGTTACTAGTTGGGGACCACACTGATGAGAAAGAACCTACATCCAGCTGCAGCTGTAACCCTTCTGGTTTTTTGTTTTGTTATATCTTGTTTTTCTGCCCAAAACTCTGGCCCCTACTAAATGAGACATCCTCTCTAGTGTGGAATTGAATCAGCTTAAGGACCGGTGTCTGCAGATTCTGATGTCTCATTTGTGTGTTTTATCACATTGCTACTAGTTATGTTCAAACACAAGAATGTAATCCTTCTACTTACTTACTTAAGATTTTCTATGTCTCCTTCCAGAATCTTAAGCAAGTCTCTCCAGCCCCTCTGCCTTAACCTCACTCCCTCTTCTTATGGATCTGCCCAACAATAGAGCTCCCAGTGTTCCTATCACCTGCCAGCCTGAAATTTTCTCTGACCGCTTTCCAGGGAATGAGTTTGGTGGCATCTCATAGTCTTACACTTCACCCTTGCTCTAGCCTTTATAAGCATCTAAGTCACCAGGGGAACTATTTAAAATTCACATTTTAGAATTTAGGGTCTCTGATGTCATCATGAGATACTGAAACAAGAGAGGTAGTGATGCAGCTAGACCCTGGGGTACACCTTTCCTGGCTTTCATTGACTTGTGGCTATGAACTGTTTTTTATACATTTACCACTACTTCCAGACTAGACTGGGAATCCCAAAAGAAAAACAAAATTGGGGTGGTTTCTACATGAAGTGGCCCAGCCCTCTAATATGCCACATGCTTAATAAATGTTTTCCTAAGTTAGCCAGAATCTGAATGTATCAGACAAATTAATGTATCTGTTCACTATGGCCTTGAATACATTCTTACTGAACTTTAAACCACCACATCTACAGCCAGTTGTTCCAGATATTTTTATATTTTATATTATTATTCCTCCTCACCCTCAGAAGGACCAAGTTTAATAGAATGATCAAACGTTGAAAGCTAATTCCCAAGGTGATGTAATGATATTTGGGGGCGTGAAGTCAGCACTTGCACAATAGGAGAAGATAGCAATCTGAGTAAAGAAATTTCCTCATCAGACACTAAATCTGCTGGTCCCTTGATCTTGGACTTCCCAAGCCCACAGAACCATGGGAAGTTTCTTTTGTTAAACCATCCTGTTTATGCATTGAAGGGCCCAGACCCTCACCCAGCCCCCTGCTTTGGCAGCCATGACAGGCTATAGAAAAGACCCAGCAAGACATAGGCCCCTGACCCAGCACCCCCCTTCTGCCTTAATCACTAGGAAGCCAGATACCCTCCATGTGGCCATGTGGCCAGGAACCAATTAAAAGTTAGCTTGCAGGCTCTGGATGTGCTTTACTGATAACAGTGGAATGCAGAGGGATGACCTCTAGGCATAACAACCTTTCTGTGCTACAGCTGACCAATCAACTCAGGACATGTTGCCCAAGCCCAGAGGTACACCAATCCTGAGACTGTTGCTATGTAACTAGGAGCCTCCCAGACATTGCCCTTGTTCTTACCCTACTATATTCCCTGCCCCACTGCTGCTCAGGGTCCCTCTTGCTCTGCCAACTGTGTTGGACGGATAGGGGGCCCGAGTTAATACAGTAAACTCATTAATTAAAAAGACTATTTGCTTTTGCATCAGAACTGGTTTTGGGGAGTCAGAGTCTGTGCACAAGAGGCACAACAACATCAGTCTATCATAGCCATCAGAAAGACTGCAACACATAAGGGCTCCCTGAATAGGAGACAGATGTATTCCATTTGTCTCATTTAGAAAGTGTTTTGGGTACTGAATCTGTGAATATATAAATGATACCACTTTATATCCACTAACATGAGTCACAGGGAAGAATAAATTATACATGGATGAGAACTCAGAGAGCTGTGGGCTAATGCTCATAACCCTATCAGAACCTAAGATAGAAAACTTTTTTTTTTTTTTTTTTGGTTTTTTGAGACAGGGTTTCTCTGTGGCTTTGGAGACTGTCCTGGAACTCGCCCTTGTAGACCAGGCTGGTCTCAAACTCACAGAGATCCGCCTGCCTCTGCCTCCCGAGCGCTGGGATTAAAGGTATGTGCTACCACTGCCCGGCAGAAAACTATTTTGATCTCTCCATTTCTTTTCCACCACAAACTCATCTCTCTGTTCCCTGCTTATTTCTATCTGTAGCCTTTAAAAGTAATATTAGTCACATAGATAAGATGTATGTCCTCACTAGGGAAGATTCAAACTGCAACAAAAGGTACCATGGACACCCACTTGTCCTTTACTCTCGGTGTCTTCAGAGTAACCACTAGTGTGAATGTAGCATCTGCCTTATATGGAAACACCCTGAGTCTATTTGATTTGCATCGGTGTTATGAGTAATGGTTTTATTCTGGATGTCCTATAGCTTGCTTTATGCAGCTGATGATTGCCTTGGTGACCTTGCCTTATCATTACCTGAAACTGCTATAAGCATGACTGACCATTATTGAATCTTTCCGACTGCTGGTCATCCAGATGGTTCCTGGTGTATAGTCATCATCAATAGTGTACAGTGACCAACCTATGACTGTCCCTTACATATATAAGTTAGTACACATCTCAGAAAGGGGCAAATAAGAGAATCTAATATTTGGTTTATGGCTAGACTAAGTCCAAACTCTACAAAGTGTATATGGAAGTAATTGTACCATTAGTGGTTTTCTTTTTCAATATAAGATAACAACTTGGCAGCTCCTCAATATACAGTATTGAATAAATGAATGAATGAGCATATATTGCTTGTATCCTTTTAAAAATTTTCTGCATTGCAAAGATGTCAAATGCTAATGATGTGACTTATTGGTAGGGCACGTAATGAACATTCATGAGACCCTGGGTTCAATTCCTAGCATGTGAAAAATAGTGGTTTAGCCACTATTGAATTTTCATATGTGAAACTTACTTTACATGTTAAAGAAGTAAAGAGACAACCAATTCCAATGTGGTATATTGGTTTGTTTTGTTGAGTATGTAGATACCTTTCCCAGAGTCACCTAATGATCTAAGAATGACTGGAGCACTGGCTATCACTTCCGTTTTCTGGGTGGAAAGAAGAAAAGGATGTGAAAAGGTCATTTCTTCCTTTTAAAAGAAAATTTCCAGAAAATTTCTGCTTGTATCAGACTCACCAGAATTTCATCAATGAGATGTCACCCATTCCCTAGCCAGTAGTATTCTCAGCCTAGAAACAGGCACAAAGGAAAAATGGGTGTTGGGAGACAAGTAGAAGTGACTGCCACAGATAGATACTATGTGGGTCTACAGAGAAGGTAAGGTGACAAGGTAGTCCTTAGAAGCTCCAAACCCCAATAATCAGGAAGCATGATTGATCACAAGTTGACTAAAGTCTTCTGGAATTTTCTTAACATGACAAAGTTTTGCTGGAAAACAGAAGGAATTTGTAGAAAATACATTGTGGCTGTTGTTCATTGAGCATGGATAGACGGTAGGCAGACAAACAGATGTATACATAGATGATAGAAAAATGAATTGCCTATTCTGATGATTGGCAGTCCTCAGGCTCTGGCATCTCTTGGTCCTTATGGGACAGTAAAAATCACTCTTCATATGTTAAGCACACAACAGATCTGTGTGATTTTATAGGTAACAGTTTTCTACTCAAGGTAAACCAGGAGAAAATGGAATGGAAAACGGTGCAACATTTGTGACCGCTGGTTCTTAACCCCTCTTTGTCCAGGTATTCTTCTGTGGGTTTTTGTCTGTATGTCTGTCTGTTTTTGCAGTTTTCTAAATTTATTTTTCACTTAGCTGTAATTT